CCGCAGCCCCAGGCCTCGCCACCCTCAACCCCGCCCCGCCCCGCCCGCGGGCGCAGCGCGTGCCCCTCCGCGGCTCTCTCAGCGCCCCTCACCGAATCAAAGCGAGCGGGTCCGCGGGCCGCCAGCCTGCGGAGGAAGCCCTCTGTCCCCAGCTCCGCGACCGTCCTGCCCCCAAGGGGGGGAGGAACTGACCGCCAGCCTGGAAGGGAGCCAAGCAAAGCCAAGGAGAGGGAGAGGGGACTGAGGCGCTTTTTCTTTCTAACCCTCCCCCCCACCTCCTCAGAAAGACCCGTGACCCTCCCCAGCGTCCCCATAATAAGAAAGGGGGCAAACGACCGCGCCGACTCACAGCCAAGGCGTCCCAAGAGGAAGACGAGCAGCCCGAGGAGAAGGAGGCGGCAGCGGCTCGCCATCTTCACGGCAGCAACAGCTGTTTGTTATTCTTCCCCCCCCTCAGCCCTCAGCCCTCAAAGCCCGGCGCGAAGAGTCGCTGGTGGCGTCGCTCCAGCTGGAGTGAGAAAGGCCGGAGGGAGAGGAGGGGGCAAACTCCGCAGCTGGAAAGGCTGCGGAAGGAGGAGGAGGGGGGGGGAGAACGACAACTCCCTGGCAGCTAGTCTTTTCATTGCTTTTGTGCACCTCTCTTGGGCGCGGGCGGGCGCATGCGGGGGGACAGGAGCGTCCCTTCCTCTCAGGGCAGAGGTTTCCGTTAGGTCTTTGTCAGCCAGAGGCCAAGCACGCACGGAGCGAACAAGCAGACGGGCGGCGGTGTGGCTGCGCATTAGGACTTCTCTAAAAGACCCTGTTGGGGCCGCCGTGATCTCCCCCCCCCCCCGGGCCTTTATGTTGCGGCGAACGCTTCCTCTGAGGCTTCTGTCAGCCCCCCCCCCAAAAAAAAACCCGAGGCGGCCCCATAAGGGAGCATGAAGGGCTCTTTCCCTTTTCTGGAGCGTGAAATTAGCGTCCCCCGCCGACCTACAAACGATGAACGGTACTTCTCTTCCCTACCGGCGCTGGGGCTGGGAATCGATCGCCAATTGCCTACTTTGTTTCCCTGAAGGGGAGAATACTATTAATTCATTAGGGAAAGACCGCGCAGCTTGCGCAAAAATCACCGTTGCGCAAGTAGCCAACTCCGTGAAGGCGGGAGGCAGGCCGAAGCAAACGCAAGGGTCGTGATGGCTGGCAGGGCTCTTTCTGGCGGCAGAAGCTCAACAGGAGAGCAGCCGGCCTACTCTGCTCCTGATCTGTTTTTAAGCTAAGTTTATATGGTGTAGGAGTGCCTCAAGGTATTTTTAATGGAACAGGTCATAGTATTGTAAATTAAAATCTTGAACATATGAAATGTACTCATGTAATTAAAATATGTAAGAAAGACTGTATGTAAACAGCTAGCATACGTCTGTTTCTGATTAACAGGCCGTGTTGGAGGCTTGAGTTGCCTCCGGCAGGTGTTGCTGATTACAGAGGCTTTTTCTCTGTATAAGCTCTATGAGAGCATTACTTTACTGCTCTGGTAAAGGACTAGTCAGGTTGTTATACTGTACAGTGCTGCCTCGACTTACAACCATAATCCATTCCAGAAGATGGACGTAACTCAAAATGATCGTAAGTCGAAGCACCATTTCCCATTGAAATGCATTGGAATGAGATTAATCCTTTCTGGGAAAAAAAAAGCACACAGCAAGCTGGGTTGGAAGGTGCTGGTGCTTTAAAAAACCCCAAAAATAAACAGCGAAGCAAGATCTGTGGCTGGGGCTTTTTAAAAAAATATAGCAAAGCAAGCTGTGGCACTGGGGCTGCAAACAAAAAACAAAACAAAAAACAAAAACAAAAAAACCCACCAAAACAAAACAACACAGAAACATACCCCTCCAGATGAAAACCACGATGCAAACCCCACCTAGAACAGTTTTAAAAAAGCAGAAAACAGCACCTTTCCTTACAAGGCAGCTGAAGCCTCCCTGCAAACACACACATGGTCTCAGAAGCAGGGGGCAGTCCCAAGCCCCTGACAACGACACACTCTCTCTAACTGCTGGGGCGAAAGAGCTACAAAGAAGCAGCCTTGTTGCCATCTACAGTTAGATATTAGAATTTCCCGCCTTTTTCCCCTGCCTTTTTCTGTTTGTAAGTGGAAGCTCCGTCGCAAGTAGAAGTAAAATTTTGTGACCGGAGCTCATGGTAACTTGAAATGGTCATAAGTAGGGATGGTTGTAAGTCGAGGCACCACTGTACTGGGTTGTGAGTAACCAGTTACTGTACAGTGGTGCCCCACATAGCGACGATAATCCGTGCAGCAAAAATCGTCGCTATGCAGATTCGTCGCTATGCGAAAAGAAAAAGCCCATAGGAATGCAGTAAACCTGTTTAATGCGTTCCTATGGGCAAAAAACTCACCTTTAAGCAAAAATCCTCCATACGGCCACCATTTTCGCTGCCTGGTAAGCGAGGAATCGGCGTGAAAACACAACGGGTGGCCATTTTTTTTACCCAGTGGCCATTTTGGAACCGCCGATGGGCTGTTCTAAAAACATCACTATGTGAAAATCGTAAGCGTTACAGCTTACCGATCATTGCAAAGCGATATTTTCCTATCTAAATCATCGCAATGCGATCGCTTTTGCAATCGCAAAAACTTAATCACTATGCGGATTCGTTATTAAACAGGGCGCCCGTTAAGCGAGGCACCACTGTATATGGATATGCTGTTATGTTATCATATTATGCTGTTATGGTAAGCTGTTATGCTGAAGATAAGCTGTTTAAGTTACATATATAAGTTTCTAAGCTAAGTTTGTGGTGTCTTAAGTTTTGCATCCAGAGTTAAAGGAAGAGCACTGAATTCTGTTAAGTTTCTACCAGTTCTCTCCAGGGAGCCACATTCTTTCTTGAATCAGCTTTAAATGTTTTTGTTAGTACATGTTTATGTTATTGTTGTTTAGTTAAGTCATGTCCAGCTCTTTATGACCCCATAGACCAGAGCATGCCAGGCCCTCCTGTCTTCCACTGCCTTCCGGTTTATGTACACCTGTTCAAAGTATAGCAGATATACACTTGACAGTGAAATAGGAAAGGTCCAGTGGCTCTGGTGTTAGGGTGAATGAAAATACAGCCTTTGTAATTTTTCTTCTCCCACTATTTAAACAGCATCAAAGATAGTGTATTAGGCCAAGGAGGAGAAGGAATGTGAAACATGCAAGAGAAGAAAGCCAAATTATTTGATCATGTATAATTTTCTGAGTGAACAGCCACCTACACCAGCCCCATAGGTTCTATCAAAACAGGTTTAGCTTCTCTGTTCATTTTTAAAGACTTCTCTTTGCTAGAGAAAATAGGCAAACAGCACATCACCAGATCACTCCTGTTCAGCATCACCCCCTTGCCCAGAAAGCACTAGAATGAGAAGGCTTGGCTAAAGCCTTTCACTGTGACTAGAAGCTAGAGCCATCCATTACAGAACTGCTCCTCTCTTTGATGTTTTCCTTGTATGGAGATCAGTGGAAGAAATGTATCAGTTTTTTTAAAACATACTGTCTTGTATATCAGTGTCCTATTAAATACAGATTCCTTATAAGATTGTTCAGATTTGAGTGTTCAAAATTGTTTACATTTGAATTTAGTCTGCTTCAGTGTAGCTCCACTGGTAGATTCGGGATTTATCATAAGCTTATGACTAGTATTACAAACGTACTGTGCATGCTGTGCATTTATAAGCTAATAATAACAATGAAAAATAAAATCCCTGCTTTATTGTGTAGTGTATAATGAACAGTGCCTCCTGCATCAGTTTTCTTGTTCTTGTTCTTTCTTTTTTCAGCATGATTCCATGTTTCCAATTAAGTGTGTATTGACCTAGTTGTTGTTACGCAAAAGTGCATAGCTTCCAATACAACACACATCTGTGCATGGAGACCAGTGCTTATTGGCATTTGAGAGTGTTACACTCTCAAGAGGAACAAGGGACAAATATTAGGTATTGCCATCTGCAATTCCTGGGGAAGCACATTTCACTGAACTCTTCAGACATCAATTTTGGACAATAGCTGTCTAGTCTTGCTGGATGTTGACACTAGCCAAGGGAAGATGACAGGGTGCTGCAGTGATCCATGTTAGTGATATGTACACACAGAAAATAAAATATATTTTTCCCTTCATTGGTTTGAAATACGCTTTTCATTCACAGCCCTACATAATTTAACACAAAGATGGTCTGTAGGTCATTACCATCTGTATTTATGTGCATTTTGCAAAAATGACAATCTTGTCCTTTTCCAATTGTAATGCTATGCAGTATCAGTTAGTTAAATGTTTGAGTCGGAGCTCAAGGTCCTATAAAGTTCAGGTCCTTTTTCAGCTGAATGACCTTTCTGAGTATTAAAGTTTTATTTATTTAGGCGGTGGCCTCTATAGAGCTGAATGGATCCCTGCTACAAAGACTTCGGCCTCCTGGGAAGCACTGGGACAATTTCCTTTTTATGTAGGAAGCAGACTGAAGGAAGCCTGGAAGATAGGCCCTATTCCAGTAGAGTGCAAATTCTGCATTGGGAATTCTTTGTTTTTGAAAAAAAAAACAAATAACAAAATTAAATTAAGATGAATAGCACACTCTTATGCATCAGTATACAGAGAGCCACAATGTATCCACCCTAGTTTAAAGCCACTGCAGTACAGCTGTACTGGTACAACTCCAGGTATACTTCCCCAGAACCTGAGTTCAGCCAGGTCTACTCTCTAGGAAGCATGGCTAAATTTTATGTACACTTAAAAGGAATCCAGGGTGGCCATATGTTTCCCTTTAGTAGGGACAGTCCTCAATTTAAAGAGCTTAATTCCCTTTTGGTGACTTATGTCTTCCTTTTTAGTGACATATAAGTGGTCACCCTACCCTTCAGTGAGCTTCCTTGCCTCAGCAGACTTTGACTGGTAAATTTATCTAATCAGTAGTCTGGTTCAGAACAGGTAGGTGGGGCATTTTGTAATTCTTATTTATTAAATTGGTTCATATCCCAACTGTCTCTCAATCCTATGGCCCAAGGTGGTTACCTAGTTACAATCCTGTGCAATATTGTGTACATTACTGTATTTCCACTTCTATTGTAATAATGTCTAATTGTGATATTTGCATATAGAAATTTAAATGAACATATGCAAATTTAATCCAGATATTTCCTCCTTTTTGGCAATGGAGCAGTGGTCAACCTAAAGTAAGGGCTCAATTACATGTAGAAAAAAAATATGTTTTTGAATTGGATTTAACATGTTTGAAATTGATGTTAAAAATTTTGACTATATGATGCACAAGGAAGTGCGGACTTTTTTGCCCTGGAAGTGGTGTTTTTGGGGGTTGGAAAGTGAGGTATTTTACCAAACTGTGAGAAGATAGTTTATTTTAAATTGCTAGTGAACCTGATTTATTTTGAATTGTTTTGGCATTTGCAAATACTGGTATAAATTGTGTTGGTATAAATTGTGTTTATGGGGTTTGTCAAGTTATGGATGGCTAGGATCACAAGTTTTACGATGCAGGAAAGCCTTGCAGTCCAAACTGAAAAGGAAGCCAGCAGAGATAGAAAGGTTGAGTGAGGGAAAGTGCTCCGACCTTCACAAGCTACCGATCTTGTCAGCTTTTCCAGTCAGCTTCCCTTTGCCACTCATTAGTGTGCCTTCCCTATGGCCAGCTCCAGCTGCTGGTCCTCTTGCTCCCTCTCCTTCTACACCCCTGCCTCCCCCCAGTGTGTGTCCATGCACATATATCAGGCATAAGGGAAAGTTTGCAGTTCAATCTGTTTGAAATTTTTTTCTATCTGTCATACTGAACTCGTGCTATGCCAGACTGCAAGAAATATATTTTAAAAAAATATGAAAAATAACACTACAGCAGCAGCGAGTGGCTGTGAGAGACAGCCAGCATGAGGGCAGGCAGGCACAGGACAAAGCCTGAAATGCAACAATTCTAAAAGTCCATGTAGCCCCCTTGACAGATATACAACACAGTTTAAAAACAGATTAAAAGCTATCCTAAGAGGATCCACACACTGACCCCAAAACCACATGACTTTATACCAACTTCAGAAATCTTGATCCATATTTTTTATTTTCATAGTGTGACCATGTCTTAAGCCCAGACGAACTCAGGACATTCTTTGCAATCATACCAGCAGGGTAATATTTAATCTGCAACAATTTACTATTTATTTTATTATTTATTTATTATTTTATTTTAATTTGGCTGATAGTGCACCAATTTCCATTGACCCACTTCAATGTACGCTATTCAGCATGCTGCTTGCAATAGGTGGGGCAAGACACATTTTACAGTGGGTATCTGATAGAATTTTTCAAGAGTATTCTAAAGCAAATTCTAGTATGTTTACATATACATATGGATGCATCCTTCTTTTTGACCACCTAATGTGTTTTTACCTTCATGGTCTTTGATGTCTCCCATAATAGTTAAATTAGATTATAAATGTGCATTTATCACATTGGACAAATCAAGCAGAGAGCATTCATTGTACTAGTAAATTGCTCATCTACCCTTCAAT